ATCTATAACAACAACAACATCCTCCTAGTTACATCTCTCACCTTACCTTCCTCCTCCCACCTCTCATACCCATACATGATCCTCTTAAATTCACGACCAAAGAATGCATTCACTCCAAAAAATATATCACGGGCTGTTCATGCCCGTGCCACCTCTTTGGTGGCTTCATCTTCATCAATCAATCACCTCTTAGTTAAACCTCCACGAACCCCTCGCTTGAACCTCAAGATAATATCATATAGCAGCATTATTCAGCCTACATAGCCCACTCAAGGCTTCTTTGCTCACTTGAGCGGTATTATAACACTCTCTACAACGCCCCACATCTGGTTAGTCTCTCAGAGAACACACACACTTCTAAAATTGCTCTCGTTAATGGTACTGCTTCGAATTTGCCGTTTCTTGCCAACTGGTGTTTGGTGATTACACTCTCCGTTATTGCGGCTGTATTCCTTGATCATCTGTGTGTGTGTGTGTGTGTGTGTGTGTGTGTGTGTGTGTGTGTGTGTGTGTGTGTGTGTGTGTGTGTACCAGGTCCACACACTCTGAGGTAGTGGCAAGTTTAGTACTTCAACCACTAGTCCACACGGAAAATATATATATATATATATATATATATATATATATATATATATATATATATATATATATATATATATATATAGGTGTTGAAATATATATCTGTTAGCCATATAAATTTATATATAACAGTTAAATATAGCCAGCTGTTAGTTGAACAATTAATTTTTCAACTACCCTCGACAGTGAAGAAAAACATAAAGGCTCGTCTGAGAAGAATATTGAGAAGATTCGTGTTAGAATCATTAATCTTACCCTTTCGGTCATATTCAGCAACATGTATTTGTATGTGTATACAGGAAATGCGTAAGCTGATCAGAATGGCATTTCACCCTGGTAAACGCACATTAATGACACTATGTAAAAATCCACCTCGATCGCCTTACGTAGGACAGACGTAAATCTGTGTATTTATTTATACGTATGTAGGTTAAATTAGCATCTTAAAAGCAGTACAATCACCTTATGTGGGTTATTGTTCAATGAATCACTGAATATATGTTTAACAGATCTATAACTCTGTCCATGGAGAACAGAAGAAAATGTATATAATGTTGGTTGGCATTGTAAATGTGTGGCCACGTCTGTGGTAGAATAATAATAATAATAATAATAATAATAATCATAATAATAATAATAATAATAATAATAATAGTTCAAGTCTCATTGCTTTACCTTTCAACACCAGTTCCAATTTTAGTCTTTCACATTTAAACAACATTACTAAGCTTTCTCAAGGGAAATGTTCTATGCTGGAATAATATCTGTCGAGGTTAGGTGTTAATAGTCATTACTCTTTTATTATTTCTTCTGCGGTATATTGCACGAGGATGTTACTTTCTATATTTTCATCGAGTTGTACTCTCCATGTCTCTTCTCTCTGTTTCGGATAGTCTGTTTCCTTCTTTTTGAAAATGATTGAAGTTTTCTACAACTTGGAGCATTATTCTCAGTCTGTGGGTCTAATTGTGAGTTTGACTGTGTTAGAGTTTTAATGATTAATTACGTATTTGTGCGGTTGTAGGTATACATAAAAGGTTGAATGCATACTTGAAATTGTGCGGCACATATATTCATTCATTGAGGAGAACTGGAAATATATATATTAAGAAAAAGCAACATCCCATATAAATTTTTAATAAAAACGTTACAGTAAGGATTTCCAATATCACTGATCCGTTGACAGAAGGATATTTACATATAAATCAGTTCATCTTATGTTAAAAAAGGAAAAATAAGGAATGACAACATTCCTGTGTTAAAACGAATCTTTTCAGGCATTAAATAATTCAACCAATAAGGTGACTTTTTAAAAATCTAAATTATTCATAAATAAATAAGTATATTTTTACATTTATATAATGTATATGAGTGTAAACACAATGTATCTTCATGAAACATTTATATATACAACAGAGCAAAGTATTAAAATATAATATACAAAACTGGGCTGAATTGTCACATCAGCTTTAGCAATATTTATTCCTGAACTTATATTTATGTCATCTAATGTTCTTTGTTTCAACAACGACTAAATCAGCTGATTTACACAGAGGAGTAAAGGGTGTCGTTATACATACAAGTGGTCGATATAAGACATACCACATTTAACAATGAGGTATATAGCATATCAGATATACATCAATGACCATACACAATTTGGTAGATGCCCTATTATATTATTGGTGTGTACATATTTACACGTATTTATGTCTTTATATATATATATATATATATATATATATATATATATATATATATATATATATATATATATATATATATATATATATATATATATATATATTACTCTGTTTAAAGCTCAAAACTTCAGCTCTTCTTCCAGTTATGGTGCTGACTTTTCATTGTCTAAATTCTTTTACCTGGTCTAAAAGAGCGACTAAAAATAATAATACTCGTAATTAAACTTAATACTGATATGGAGCACAGGATCTAAATGACGCACTCGGACGCAATATCCTGCTTCATGGAATTATGTGATTAAATACAAAATAATTTTTCTAGCAAGTAATCTCGTTGAATCCTGAAGGATTTTGCTACCTGTAAGCTTATTTCGTCTTTGGAAAAGTATTGTGGCCTGTTGCGCTGTTTAATGCTTATTCTGTAAATGGGTAAACCAAAATCTTTGTGTATTTAACGTTGTAAATACAAGTGGCTTAAATTTTATTTCTAACATAGTAATTTAAATTAAAGATAAATTGATAAATGAAATGCATATCTTTATTAGTTTTTTTCTGTTGTAATTAAATTGTGTTACTATGATTATTGAATAAACAAGAACATGTCATAGAAATAATTGCATATATTACTAATTGTAGTATTTTCGAATTTATTCTCAGCTAAACAATCGATTTCGTTGACCAGTGATATAGAACCATTGACACGATAATTTATGCAGTCTTTCAACAGCTTTAAAAACTTTTCTTTTAGGATATTTTCTTCATTCTCCGATACCCAACTAATCCAGGTCATCAAGGATACTCGGGATTGGCTTGAAGTTCTGTTTCATGGTTTGTCATTGGACTGTATACAATTTTTTTCTCAAATAACCGCTTGGAGGTTTTTAAGGCATCAACAAGAACTTACTGACCAACCAGCTGGAATATTTTAGTACTGAATATAGTCCAGGAATCAAGATATTCCTCTCTCTCTCTCTCTCTCTCTCTCTCTCTCTCTCTCTCTCTCTCTCTCTCTCTCTCTCTCTCTCTCTCTCTCTCTATATATATATATATATATATATATATATATATATATATATATATATACTTCTAGGAACGATATATACCTCTAAGTATATAAACCCCTGTTAGTTCGTATATTTATATATTCTGTTGGACTGAGGTCTGGGTGTTTCAATGTCAATTAGAATGTTGGTTTATAATTCCTTAATCGTTTGGAAGGAGATAAACCTATTTACTTGATAACATGTCTTGATATGCAGTGAAATTCATGACCACCTTAATTTGCAGAAAAATACAAGGAGCAAAGGATTGAAAACAACTGCAAAGTTAAACAAAATATTAAAAATAATAATGAATTAAAACAGAAAGAATACCAGCAGCCGAATTGTTATCTTCTCTGATACAAATGTATCACTTAAGTTCATGTTTATAAAAGTGTTTTTTTTTTTTCATTCAGCTACGAAGCCTGGAATCAATCGTCATAAAAATTCTGTTTGAGGAGTTTAGTTCTCTTATTTTTTTGTATTAGTTTTTGTTACATTAAGAGAGTTTCCTAATGATAACTTTTGTAACGTTTATACCCTGATGATGATGGAATTTTATCTAACGTGTTCAGTTGTCGCGTTTGCTTTACGTAAGCTGCTTTAATTATTTTGAAATTTGTTTTGATTCAATACCCGCTATCCCGGCAGCAATAACTTCCTGTTGATGAACTCACTGATCAGAACTAGGATGGTCGACATCATCTGAATTATATATTTAACTATATATTATATAATTATATATTTATATATTATATATTTATATATTTATATATTTATATTTATTAAACATTTAGAGGTTAATAACCGTACGTCAAAGATTTGACGAGTCTCTGACTGTCAGCTTAATAACTGAATCATTTACCGAGGTTGATAACTTTATGGTAGAGCTGAGTATCCGACCTTCTTCGAAATGATTATTGAACTTTATCTGATTGAGACCATTCATCGGATACCTGACATGTATCGAACTTTCCACACAATAATTAAAGACGCTGACTCGATTGCTTGTTCGCTTGGCTTCAGTTATACCTAGTCAGTGAGTTCCGTGAATTTCAGTCTGTCAGTGAATTTCAAATGATCAAATGGCAGTGAAGTGTTATATTCATAATTAAAGTGTATTAGCATATAGTTACAGTGTAAAACAATGTATATTACATTTATAAAAAATATGCCATATATTTTGGAAGTTTCATTTATTTTTTCCCAAATAATCTTTTATTAATTACTCATTATATATTAAGTAATATATGTTGAGTGCAGGTTGCCATTTATTTTAGATATAACCCCCCCCATCTCCAAGCAACATTAATTGTATATATTACGTGAATATATTTAAAGCCATCAGCAGTTGAATTATAAATTAAGCTAATATTTAGCTTAATAATAATATATTAGAATAATATTTTATGATAATATTTTAAAATATTAATTATTGCATTATGTTTTCATACATAATTTCTCGTAATTTACATGTAATTGTCTAGTCAGGTAAAAATATATAAAATCGGTATTCACTTTATTCGACCTAATATACAAGTTAATGTATAATAAGTCGCATTAAACGTTTAAGACAATAATGCTTACATTATATTGCAAGTTTCTCTTGTAATATATATATATATATATATATATATATATATATATATATATATATATATATATATATATATATATATATATATATAAAACCACTGATATTTTCAAGAATTGATATAGTTGAAAAAATATAGTCAATCAGATGCCAAAGGTTTATCTGAAAAGAAGAAAGAGAAGTGCATAAAACGTTTATAAAATAATAATAATAAATAATAACTGTTCAAAAACATGCTTTCAAAATAGAAATATTATAATGATCGCACACGAAAAATATTATTTGGGATTAATAATTTCACAGGAATGGAATCTTTTTAATCAGGTGCTTTGAAGCTAATACTTTTTTTTGCATTTCTCTAAGATTTTATCAACAACTTCAACAATATGCAACACAGTATTTTTGAATAGTGTTCCTATGTTGGTGTCGATGGCAGCAATGGACTTGCGAGCTCTCAGCACTGAAAGCTGTTCTAATCACTTAAATTATCGAGTGGCTTAAAGCAATATCCATCACATCTGAAGAGCTTGGCTTTGCTTTTGGATATTCATTGAAAAAACTAGTACACACTTTTCATACAAATTGGTCTGTTCATACTTATTATTCAGCTTTAGAGACTTGTTCTATTGACAACTTTACAGTGATGTCAATCTAATTACACGTTTCTTTTATATATATATATACAAAGAAGTAAAAAAGGGGGCATTAACCTATCGTTTTGTCGCTATTTTAACACAAATTATTTGTTGATTGAATACATTAGTAGGTGTCCAGGCGATCATCTGACGGGCAGGAAGTGGTTCCAGAGGGCGTAACTGGTGCACAGGAGACTCACTACCAGACTGACGGAGGCGCTGGAGGGAGAAGGTAGATCAGAAGCCGAAGCATGACCTCGTCTCTGCACCGCTGCCACTGTATCGCCTTCTGCAGGAGAGATACCAGAGGAATGTCTGACAAAAATAGTTTTTTCAAGTTATTTATCTGTCTGGCAGTCAGTCTCTCTACAAACCTGTATCTTTCTACCTCTCTCACAAACACACACACTCGAGGCAGGACCAAAAAGCCGGAACTCAACACCCCCTCACAAGAACGATTGAGTACACACACTATATTCTCTGACTACTTACTTTCGGTAACGAATACCAGCACATAAGCAGGCTCCACGTTGGGCGGGATGCAGGAGTAATTGCCAGAGTCCGTATGTCTGTTAGAAAGAAAAAGAGAATATTATACGCAAAACTTATAAATAATAATACATCTTCATAAATATATATATATATAATATATTTTGGTTGAAAGCGACCCCCTATTCCTAGCGTTATTGATTGTATTGTTCTAACATTTGATGCATCTAACAATCCGCTTTGTATCAGGGCCGAGCTGGCCGATTAGGTTAGGGAAATTCATGGTCGGTCTGTGTTTAGAAGAATAAAACACAACAATATGTTATATAATGCGCAACGTTTTGTTATGCATTACATATTATATATGCATAACTATATGATATATAATGCATAACGTTTTGTTCCTGCCTGGAACAGCTTCGAGGGAGATATGATGAGCATACGTGAGCAGCACGTGTGGTGAGAGGATATATGCTCAAGTACAAGTGAGGTACAGGTGAGGTACAGGTGAGGGTACAGGTGAGATACAGGTGAGGTGAGACTGGCCTCAGAGCTCAGGTCCCGGCCTATGTATTCCTCAGCTGTGGAGGAAGCACAGAAATACATACAATCAATCATTCAACTGACTTTACTAATTCATACAAAATTGTTGAGTGTAAATCATTTAGTGAAAAAAAATATTATTTAATCTTTATTTATAAAAAGACGTGAATTGGATAATACAATACACGCCCAGGATTGTATACATTTGTTTTATAAATGGTATAACATGAGCAGCATCTTCACTGCAATAAAGCCTACCTGAATTACTCTCATTAGGCAAAATTGTACAAATTTCGAAAATTAAGATGTCATAGAAGTGTGTGGAAGCCTCTCACCTGTACCCCTGACCACTTTTTAATCAACGCACCTGTCACTTAAGCACATGGTTCTATAGTCTAGTTTTTTTTAACTTATCTATAAAAACTCAGATTCTCTATGGCTTGACTGTGACATCTAGCCAGAAGAGTTTTGGTATGGGAAACAACTTTTACTGTGAATGGAAGGTCCTCATATTAATGTTAAGTCTTAATAAATGAGACCTTATATGTATGTGTTAAGTCTAATGTATTAAGATATATGTATTAAGTCTGTTACAAGCACGATTTTTTAAGTCTCGGTTTGTACGCACGGAATTCTGCCTTCCAAATCGATTTTTAGAACTGGGCTCGCTTGAAAACATAATACAAAATACGCATGATGTTTGCTAACATAAATATATCCCCCCAAACTAACTTTTAACTGTTTGAGCACGAGGGAAACACCAACATTTCCCTGTGAAATGTCTTTTTTTCAGTGCTCGTATTGCATTTTAAGTATCATTTCCTGCAGCCAGAGGCCAGAATGTCTACACACACCACAAGCTATTTTTTTTTTTTAACGAAGGGAGAAAGTTTCGAAAAAAATTGAGACATAATAATGATTTCATGAATTGCAGTGTTTTAGAGATAATTTTTACACTGAGGTGCTCGGTTTAGAGATTATTCATATGGAGATGCAAAGATTGTGAGTGTTGGCACAACTGACCAGCGACAACATGTGTGTGTGTGTGTGTGTGTGTGTGTGTGTGTGTGTGTCTGGTGTAAAGGAACGTAACATATTAGACCAGTCTCGGGAGTCATACACGAAGAGGAATGCCGCTCCTCTCCTGTGTGTATGTGTATATATTTACGCTGGGCGTTCACTTTAATAGTGGATTAGGTTCAGGACTGAAGTTTGCGTGTTGGTAAGGTTCAGTAGGCCATTGTGGCGACCATAATAACACTACCGCGATTGATATGCTTCAAGCCCATCAGCAGGGTAAAGCTTCTCCAGTGTTGGACTTTGACTTAGTTCAGTACTCATCCCTCCCAGAGTGGCTATGTTTAGAACTAAAGTTTGTTTTTTGAGAGAGAGAGAGGTGGGCTCAGGAACAAACGACTGATGACTCCTGTTGTGTAGTGAGAGGCTGAGAGCTTTCCTTTCCCATAGTTCCCATCCCATAGTTCCTTTCCCATAGTTCGTGGAAAACTTACCCAATAGTTTTCCTGGAGTACGACGCGCCGATCACTTAACAACTAGGTATCCAATCGTTGATCTGATTGGTTCACCGTGGCGTTTAATTAAGGACTAGCGCCTAGTCAATCCTTCCCACCCAGAATACGAACCTAGGCGAAGTCGCTCGGGAAGTGTAGGGCGAGTGTGTTACCACTGCGCCACTACTGACTTACTGATTGGTCGGAAAGCTGTTGTTATGGAACTATTGTAGCTATTGTAGTGGAGGTATGGGAATATTTTATCCATTATCTTGAGGTTATCTTGAGATGATTTCGGGGCTTTAGTGTCCCCGCGGCCCGGTCCTCGACCAGGCCTCCACCCCCAGGAAGCAGCCCGTGACAGCTGACTAACACCCAGGTACCTATTTTACTGCTAGGTAACAGGGGCATAGGGTGAAAGAAACTCTGCCCATGGTTTCTCGCCGGCGCCTGGGATCGAACCCAGGACCACAGGATCACAAGTACAGTGTGCTGTCCGCTCGGCCGACCGGCTCCCATTTTTGAAAAAAAGCAGCATTTGGTGTTCCCAGGCGGTCACCCATCCAAGTACTAACCAAACCCAACGTTGCTTAACTTCGCTGATCGGACGAGAAGCGGTGTTCTCAACGTGGTATGGCCGGTGGCTGCCATGATTATGCCATCAAATTTTCTTAAGTTCATTATACAATAGTTTTAAGGTAATAATAAAAGAGCGATTTCGAGTTCGTAAAAATTAACGAATCAGATACGAGAGAACTAACTGAAGGAGCAACTACGAGTCCTGAGAATAATATATAGCTCGTTTTACGAAACATCTCCATCACGAAACATTTCACATATGGGGGGTTATGTAACATATATTCAGCAGTTGGTTTGTGTGATGACAGCCCCATCCCCCACACCCGTCATGGTGACGAGGATACGTAAAAAGTTGGCACGTTATATTCTTCCAGTGATAGACGAGCGACATAACTCTCATGTCAACTTGGGTGTCTGAGGCTTGAATTAAACAACGAATTTCGCCCTTAAATGTCAGACATGACGCGAGGTTTTTTTAAGTGAGAGAGACGGCGACGCTCAACGCGGTTGGAACAGGTGTTGGACGGGTGAAGGAAGAGTTTAGACAGGTGGACACCGGGAGCGACAGGTGGACCCAGGTGAGTGAAGGGGGTAGACAGGTAGTCTACCCCTTTCAAAGTAGCGGTGCAAAGGTGCAAAGTAGGACAGATGACGGAAGAGTTTACCAGGTGGAGAGAAAATGGGACAGGTAGAGGCCGGGTGGGACAGAGCTTGACAGGTGAAGACTAGTTTAAAGAGGATAGGACAAGGTAGACAAAGGCAAATGTTGAGACAGTGATGGGGTGAAACAAGACAGTGACAGGGAAGGACTGTTGAAGACAGGAGGGGACAGGTCTGGACAGGTAATGACAAGTACTAACAACTGCTGCACTCCTAACACAATTCCTGTCCATTTATCATCCCAGGATTCAACATAGGCCTACGAAAAACAACATATATTTACACAATCCCAGTATTTTTTACATATTTTTGTACACAATTTATTGGCTTTAGTGTGAACATTTGTCTTCGCGTAATCTTTCAGCTTTTGTTCATACATTTTTTGGGGGGCAATTTTCAGTTTCTCGTCAAGCGGTCAAGTTTCTCGTTCTTGGGAATTTTTCTTGGTACTGTCCCTGCTTGGCCAGTCGCCAGGATTGGAGAAAGTGCCATTTTCATGCCACACTTGCCAACGTTGGAAAGAAAGTGTCCTTTTCTTCGCAACACTGTTGAAAAAAATGCTGAACGTTCTCGGCAGTTTTAAGCTAGACGCGAGTCATGAAATACAGACAAATGGAATGTGGGAGAAAGGCAAAAGGAAAGGAGGGAGATAAAGAGGAAAGAGGGAGGGAAGGGGTGAGGTATAGAGGGAGGGGGGTGACGGGGAGGGAAGGAATAAGAAAAGGAGAGCAGGAGATTGAAGGCTAGGTGAAAGAAGGGAGGTAGGGAAGAAGGGAAAATAGGACGGGGAAAGGGAAGGAAGAAGAGAGCGGGAAAGGGAAGGGAGAGAAGTAAAGAAAGAAAATAAGAAGAAATAACGGAAGCAAGCTAGCATGGAGGCAGGTAAGTAAGAGATTAAAGAGCGATGGAACCATTAGCGAACAAGGGAAACAAGATGGAAGGAAGGGGAAGGAGAGGGTAAAGCCGGCAAGATGAGAGACAGAGAGGGAGGGAACCGAACCTCCTTCCCAAAACTAGATCTAATCTCCACCAAGAATGGATATGCCACATAACACAATGTTTTTCCCACAGTGAACCAGCTGGTGCTGCATCCCGATACTCACCAACGTAACACAGAAAAAACTAGAATATAACTGTTATCCTGGGCAACCAGGACACAGACTTAGAGGTCTGGAGACAGGCGTATCAACAACGGAATGCGTAAAGATCCAGAAATCCCTTAAAAGCGATCAAAGGAGAAATGAACTGGGAGATGAAACAAAGGAGAAGATGCTTTTCCTTATTATGAACATAAGAGAATTTTTTAATCCTGATCCTAAGAGACCAGGAAGAGGTTCGCAAACACAACATGTAGTTGTGCTTGCGAGCTGTCAATGCCATTGCCTGGAAACATTGAGGACAATCAAAGTGATATGGAAGAAAAAGCTGGTTTATATTTTTGTAAGCTGAAATGCAGACTTACCGCTCTCAGTTTGCGCCTACACACTTTTGTTAAAATGATCAGCGATGAGCCCTGGGGAGTCCATAAATGTGAGTTCAATCCCATTGTATAGCCACAAATAGTATTAATATACTCATTACACCCCCTATGATATATCTGTAAGTAAAGACGGATTTCTAATTGAGGCTACGCAAGAACACGGAAAAGTATACACACATACGCGATGACCTACAATGAGTCGCTAGAGAAGAGTTAACTGCCTGAGAGCTAGAAAAAGGCTAATATGATAGTTGTCGAGCAGAGAATACAGACATCCGGCACTGAATGGCATGCGGGCCGCAGTTACTGGCAAATATACACTGCGAGATGCAAATAGCATTTTGGAAAAATTTCCGGAGGGCCTTTTGAGAATCAACTTAGCTCTCTCTTTCTCTCTCTCTCTCTCTCTCTCTCTCTCTCTCTCTCTCTCTCTCTCTCTCTCTCTCTCTCTCTCTCTCTCTCTCTCTCTCTCTCTCCCCTCTCTCTCTCTCTCTCTCTCTTTCTCTCTCTCTGGGGACAATAGCCACAAATCACGATGTCTTATTTGAGAAAACATGTTCTGTCAATGCACATTTTAGCTACAAACGCGTTTTTTTCCATTGCACAACTGCACTGAAAACAGTTTCTTTCAGTGTATTTCTGCACGAAAAAACAAAAACCGGTTTCTTTCCGTGGAAATCTTAACTTGAAACGAAGAACAATGTATCATCTTCAATACACGGTGGACTATTTCAGGTTTCCCAGGTATCCCCAAGAGCCAGAGATTCTTGGGCTTTAACGAGCTCATTCTGTGGTTCGTGCAGTTTCAGTAAAACCTGAAACCATTGGAATCAGTTATCTGTAACAGGAGAAATTCATCGTGTCTTTTGAAGACTATTTAACACCAAAATAATCGAGTATATCTACTGTTATGAACATAAGTAAATCATTGTTAAATCATTGATCAGAAACTAGAACCATCAAAATAGTTAAGGATTATCCTATGGTTATATGGAGTGGCATTGCAACATTTAGTAGCAACATTTCAGCTGTATTTAACGGCGAGATTTGTTATTTTTGTTGTAAATCAAATAAAGATGTGAATTATCAACCACATTATAGTGTGGTTGACAAATTACATGACGTGGGCGAGGATTACTTCAGTGCTTCAGAAGTATTCAGGGAAAGTGTCCAGTTTCAGTTGGGTAGCGGTTAGTTGTTTCTGGACTCTTTCCCTATCAAGTTCATATTATGGTGGATAGAGCTTTTGTCTCCCACTCGTGGAGTCGGCAGCTCGAGTCTCCTAGTGCCCAGATGAATAAAACATTGTTGTTATTTTAAGTTATACCAGCACAGAAGACAGGGGGAAAACCTCACTCGATCGAACCACAACTGGTAACTATTGGCCCTGGTATGACTGAGGTAAACTTACAGTACCTAGAGTATCACATACAGTACCTACAGTACGAATTACAGTACCTACAGTACCACTTACACTATTCTCACCTGGCATCAGTGATGGTGAGACGAGAGTGAGTCCTGGTGCCCTCCACCTTGGTGATCACATTCAGATGGTGTCGGCTTCCGTCATAATTCACCATATTCTCTCCGTGATACCAGAAGACGAATGGTGGCTTACTCTGAGAGAGAGAGAGAGGGAAGAAGATTCAGTACAACGAGACGTGACGCTGCTTCAGGGTAGTGTATGTGGTTTATTCCAGCTTGGGGGAGAAGGAGAAGGATGTTGGGTATATGTCCCATCATCTCTGGGTGCTCGGTGGGGTATCCGAGACCTCAGGCATTTGGATGGTTATAGGAAGGTCGGTGGGTATTTGTGGCCTCGTCTTCTGGGTGTTTTGTAAACACACACACCACGTAACGGTCCCTATTGTTACTTTATAACAACTTTTTACAAAGCTGTTATATCTTGTAATAAAGTTTTTATGTGATATGTTAGAAAGTGGTTACAACGTGTTAGATTCTTGCTACTAGTGGGTATTTGTGTTTGTATACCCACTAGTTACTGGTGGGTATTTGTGTTTGTCTACCCACTAGTTACTGGTGGGTATTTGTGTTTGTTTACCCACTAGTTACTGGTGGGTATTTGTGTTTGTATACCCACTAGTTACTGGTGGGTATTTGTGCTTGTTTACCCACTAGTTACTGGTGGGTATTTGTGTTTGTTTACCCACTAGTTACTGGTGGGTATTTGTGTTTGTTTACCCACTAGTTACTGGTGGGTATTTGTGACATTGTGTATTGGATAACTGGTGGATACTTGTGTCATCATGTTCTGGATGGTTGGTGGGTATCTGTGGCATCTGGTTCTGGGAGGCTGCTGGGTACTTATACCCTCGTCTTCTGGTTGGTTGTTGGGAGGTTGGTGCCGTCTGTGACATATCATTCATTTGGGAAGTTGATTTGTATCTTTGCCATCATCTTCTGGGAGGTTTGGCGCCAGAGGGAACCACCTTGTCCTATCCATCAAGAAATCACTTTGCAGCTTGACCGAAGTCAAGCGCAAGATGATTTACTCCTACAGGCTTACTCTTTGATCTGAAGATGGCCATATAGTTTAAACGTCACTATAGGAAGAAATCACATAACCAGTTGTGTTTAACCGGCAGGGAAGAAATCTTTCAGAAAAGACGTCCAACAGGGAAGAATTATCACAGGAAAGGCATCTTGAGGAGAAAACATTTTTCCTTATATATCTCTTAACATCAAGAACCTTGTCACAGTAAAAGCATCGGCAAGGAAGTTATTGATATAGGCAAGTCACCCTCATTACTGACTTCTTCATGATATATCGAAAACCATTAAATTGGGGAAATTGATTATGCCTTTAAATGTGGTAAGTTAGTATTTTTAAATATAAAATTCACATATGTGGTTAAAAAATATGAGACCTTTTCAAGGGTTATAATAGAATTAAACCTGCTCGCTACTATGATTATTTACCAACACAAAAAAAAATTGAATTCATCGATTTAGTTAGCAAAGGATTTCCAGTGTTTTAACAAGATTTAGATAGCTGAAGCGGACAATTTGTAGCCCCTCCAATATCACTCTAAAGTCAATGTCCCTGTGCATGTTTATTTTGCTTTGCAGCGTGTGTTGATTCATGTTTCTCTGCCATTCCGTTCCAACCTCCGGTCTCTGTCCGTCTGTCTTCTCTCTCTCTCTCTCTCTCTCTCTCTCTCTCTCTCTCTCTCTCTCTCTCTCTCTCTCTCTCTCTCTCTCTCTCTCTCTCTCTTTCAAATACACCATTCTTCCATCTTTCTTCCTTTACCTCTATCTATCTATCTCTTATGGAAAATCATATCCCTGCTGCTGGATGACACACAGATTTCCACCCACCTGTTGGATGACACTCACACGCTTCCACCCACCTGCTGGATGACACACACAAACTTCCACCCCCTTTGCTGGATGACACATACACGCTTCCACCCACCTGCTGGATGGCACACACAAGCTTCCACCCACCTGCTGGATGACACACACAAACTTCCACCCACCTGCTGGATGACACAGATGAGGGTGATGGTGTCACCCTCCTGCACGTGCAGCTCCTGAGGCCCGAGAATGGCAGCACGTGGTGTGTGCACGTGAAGGTTGACGAACTGAGACAACACGCCCGTCCCCGTGTACATCTGTCGGAGAGACGGGCACGCCGCGTCAATTAGGATTAAGGGTCATCTAGTCTCAGAGGAGAGAATAAAAGGCACTCAAGGGAGCCTTTTGTGTGTATGTTCTGCTGTATACAGTCTTCTGCGATCACCCCCAAATATTTCTCTTCTTTACCTACCTTAATAGGGCCCCTACCTATAGGGGCCTCATAGCCTGGTGGATAGCGCGCAGGACTCGTAATTCTGTGGCGCGGGTTCGATTCCCGCACGAGGCAGAAACAAATGGGCAAAGTTTCTTTCACCCTGAATGCCCCTGTTACCTAGCAGTAAATAGGTACCTGGGTGTTAGTCAGCTGTCACGGGCTGCTTCCTGGGGGTGGAGGTCTGGTCGAGGACCGGGCCGCGGGGACACTAAAGCCCCGAAATCATCTCAAGATAACCTCAAGATAACCTTTACACAGTTACTTTCACAGTCACTGACTTTTTTTTTTACACAGTCACTTAGGTCTCTACTCTGACACAGACGCTGGAGACAGTGTCCGATACAGTCACTGAAGACACAGCTGGATAGTTTGTGGTGTTACAGTAGGACAAATGGAGGCTGCATTCAGACTTTTCATAAAGCAGACTTTTTCATGAATTCATAAAGCAAACTTTAATTTTTTTAGATTTAATAAGGCTTTAATTACCTGTAATAAGGTTAATAACCTGTAAGGAGTGTGAACCTCCCCCCCCCCCATCCCTCATCTGAAAAAAATAAGTTGTTTATACTGATGTCAGAAAAAATAAACAAGCTCAACTTCTTAAAATAAATCATTGTTGATATAAATTTGTGACCAAAAAGAATCCATGAGATGATTTTAAATATAAATAAATCTTTGTAGAAAACGAAACTGGTAGATTGTTCATAATATTTTTTTTTTTTGTTAACAACCCCGGCCTCCAATTACTGTTGGATGCACAGGGACGAACGTTGAAAGAACGATGAACAATATTCCCAATCAACTAATCACAGTTATTTTTTTTTATTACAAGCTGATACTAAAAGCCAATATTTGACATGGACAGTTTCGTAACTCTAAAATTATTCCTTTTATTTCTGACTCATGACCAAGAAATACAAGAATTCCAAGTGTTATATGATATATATATATAAATCGATCGGTTGACATATTTTGGCGTTCAAATTTTTTCTGAACACCATGATTTTTTTTGTTTTTATTGTTTTGCAGGGGGCTAAATCGTGTGTTTTTAGGCTTGGGTTAGATAAGTTAGGATAAATGTTGTTTAGGTTAGGTTGTAAATGGTTTGGTTCGGTTAAGTTTGGTTACATTATGTTAGGTTAGGTAAGGTTAGCTTACGTTAGCTTTGGTAAGGTTTGGTTAGGTTACATTATGTTAGATTAGATATGGTTGGATACCTTTTGGTTAAGTTATAATACATTAGGTTAAATTAGATGGACGAAACTGGCGGCTCCTTAAGTAACTGTATCGTAAGTAAATTATAAGTAACTCTCCTTATAACAACACTCCCGGCGGACGGAGCTCGCAATCCTAGGATGACCGGCTAGTCGTGAAATCAATCATATAACACTTTATACATACATTATATGTATTGTATTGTATATATGTATTGTATATATATGTATTGTATATATGTATTGTATTGTATACATACATTCTTGCTATATAGTCGTAATAGCTTGGCGCTTTCCCGCTGATAGTTCCCTTCCATTCTAAATATTCGAAAAATAAATCTCCATCGAAAAGCACAGTTTAAATTGTGTTTGATCTCTCAATAATCCAAAATATATAAAAAAGCTCATTCTGAAAAGCTGAAATTCAATTTTGTTCTCGGCCAATTGCCAGAAAATCCATATGGCTCCTTAACTTGTCAACGAATCCTGTTTAAGCTGTTGGAATTGTTAGTATAATCCAGGACGAGTTCCTGAAAACATGTCTAAACTGGAGGCGAGTCATAGGCTATTACTCGGTTATATTCATGCAGAGTTCCGCTACTGACGTGAGAACTGCATCATTGACTTTACACGCGCACATAGACTCGGTACAGCTGCAAAAGGCAAGTATCACACGCCCATAAACTCGCTACAGCTGCTAGAAAAAACGTTACGCATGGGGTAAGGACTCATAAGATCAACAGAGGTAGTACACATGCTCACTGAAACTAGCACGCAGGAACAAGTTCCATCCAAGTGTGCAGTCAGGCGAGGATCTCCCTCATTCGTAACACTGAAGATGAATGTTTACCAACTACACATTTCTAACCTAACCTCACCTAACCTCACCTCACCTCACCTCACCTCACCCTACCTTACCTTACCTTACCTCACCTCACCCTACCTTACCTTACCTTACCTCACCTTACCTCACCTCACCTCACCTTACCTTCCCTTACCAACTACACATTCCCAAGACATTTCTGAGAAGTATTGATTTTTTTATGTACCGTGAAGAATAAATGTAGATTGAAACGTAATAGGATTCCCATGGCCTTCTGATGGACCAAAATATAAAAACCGTTCTCAAATGCGCCAATTGATCAGTTCAAACGATGGATAAAACAGTTGAAAATAACTATCCATAACGAATAATTGTGATGATCTGGTAAAACTGTGGAGCCATCCTACATTTCTACATTGTGCTGTCCTCTACACTAAGCCAGTTATACTGTCATCAAGCTGTTGAGGCAATCAACACATTAAATGTCGATTAAAAATATTGTGCAAACAATATCAGTATAATTACTGGTTCTAGTATGCTATGAAGCTATATATCACCCTTGCAACTATGTAATGGTGACTGTTAACTGTCCTCCCCTACTATGTAGGGTGACACATAGCTTCAGACAACCAATTAATGGCAGCATTTTCATCTATACGCTACTAACAAAATTTATGTAACGCAAACAACAGGTAATTTGATTGCTAATAGCAGCATTCATTGTAATTAAACGGTGGTCATTAAATGTTGCAATATTCCTGTGAATTTGAGTTTTGTAAATACCACCTGTACCACAAAGCTCAGTACCATAATACTCTGTACCACAATATTTTGTACCACAGTACTCGGTACCACAACACTACATCACCTGATCCTCACTGTACCACGACATATCCTTCAATATCTCAGCACACCGTACGATACAGTACCATAAAGGTACTGTAAAGGTACAGTACCATAGACAGTTACTGTGTATACTCAGCAAAGTTTAAAATCAGGCAACGTCCAGCTTAAAACTTTTAAAATTCATCATCATACTGCTACAATCACTGGAAAATTTCTCGTCGTTGGACCTAACAAATTCTTTTGGGCTTTAACCTGTAGTGAGCTGTGTGTAACGTGCAAGACGTGACTCGACTATGCAACTTACATCTACTTAACTCACCGATAGAACACTTATTCATCTCAATTGATAAATCACTTTGACTAAACTCAGCTAATAGCTCTCTTTGACTTAACTCACCTGAGATTGCACCTTGAATCAACTCCTATAATTGCGCATTTTGGCTTAACTCACTTAATTCACTCAACCAATAGCTTACCTTGATTCAAATCACTCAACTGAGCCCTTTGGCCGGCCCATTAGCACATTCTGATTGAACGTGAAGCAAATAAGCACTTTTAACATCTAACTCCATAAAATGTAATTTTCTTTATCCAGGATTGGAGGTTAGACGATTGGAGTTAGTCTCATTCAAATTTTCAAGTCGACTCATGAGTTTCAGAAGAAAATGCATGATGAGAGTGTCATAGATCAGCCGGGGATGACCCGAATGCCACACTTTAAGAGAAATTGGCCAATGTAGCCACCCCTCTCTGGGATTTCATGAGGTCAAGTCTGAAATATTGGTTGAGCTTTCCATAAACTTTTTAGCAGCTACAGAGCTCCGTTATTAAATTTTCTGAGAGGGATAATGGAGGAGGGGTGAAGAGGGAATGAAAGTGGGAAAGGAGGATGGTTTGTAGAAGAGAGGGAAGGAGAAAATGGCGGGTGGCGAGAGCTTGAGAGTGTGTGAGAGGTGCAGGAGAGGTCACTTATTTTGGCCACAGAGTTTGTTCTGTTGATGTGTCCAAAAGAAAAAGTTCCCTCAGGGAAGTTATCAACAGTTTAAGGATGGCTATATATATATATATATATATATATATATATATATATATATATATATATATATATATATATATATATATATATATATATGACCTAAAAGGTAAGATTAATAATTCTAACACGAATCTTCTCAATATTTCTTATGTTTTTCTTCACTGTCGGTGGTAATAAAAATAACAATTCTCCGAAATTCATTTGTTTAATTGTCTAGACAATTAAATATATATATATATATATATATATATATATATATATATATATATATATATATATATATATATATATGTATATATATATATATATAATATGCAATTGACGATCACAAAACACTGATCATTTTATGCGGAAAATCCACAGAGAAATAAGAAATGAGGTGAACGTAGTCAGTCTGGTGTTGACAAAGGCTTTAACAAGCCGAAACGTTCACCTCATTTCTTATTTCTCTGTGGATTTTCCGCATATATATATATATATATATATATATATATATATATATATATATATATATATATATATATATATATATATATATATATATAATATATTATTAGATATAGACGCCCTGGCTCTCAACCACCTACTACAGCAGTATGATACATTTAACTTTATTAATATCATTACCTTACTGGTACCAGATGATACATTGTTAATTAATATGTATTACCTTCTGAACTCATTACAAACACCTGATAACACACACTAATTAATCATTAATAATATTCATGCAAAATCGTTTCATTGAGTGAATATTGTGAGAATTCTTTAACCATATCACTAGAAAATATACTGTGGCATTAACTAATTAAATAGTTGACAATTTTTTTGTGTGGTTATTCCAGGTGAACGTGTATAGCTGTCAGTCCTATAGTGCAATAATTGTGTTTAATATATCAGTATAACACTACTTTTATTTATTTATTTTTGTAACCGGATACTGACCACGCACCACAGATGATCATACAACTCGACAACACACTTTGCTTCACACTCTATGAAAGTGCACTTTGATTAACTCAATAGGGAACATTGACTCAGCTAACAGGAACACGTTGACACAACTGATAACTACACACTTCGTCTCAACTCACCAGATAAGGCTTATTGACTCAACTCACCATATAGGGCTTACTGACTCAACTCACTAAATAGGGTTTACTGACTCAACTCACTAAATAGGGTTTATTGACTCAACTCACTAAATTGGGTTGATTGACTCACCAGATAGGGTTAATTGACTCAACTCACCATATAGGGCTTATTGACTCAACTCATCAAATAAGAATTATTGACTCAACAAAAAGGTTAATTGACTCAACTCACCATATAGGGCTTACTGACTCAACTCACTAAATAGGGCTTACTGACTCAGCTCATCAAATAGGACTTATTGACTCAACAAATAGGGCTTATTGACTCAACTCACCTGACACTCGTAGGTTCCATTATCGCGGGTGTTAACGTACTTGAGCTGCAGCGTCCAGTCATCGGATCCCTCAGTGTGGAGGACATTGAATCTCATGTCGCTGGTGTAGGTGTAAATCCCCGTAGTGAGAATATGCCAATCCCACCGCCTAATCCACGATACCTGCAGGAGACGTTATAATGACGCGTGATTATTATGATTGTGTGGATATTTACAATTTGTATCTGCAGAATCGAGCTATTAGCTCCTGGAACCCCGCCTTTCTAACCAATCAATTTTTTCCTCTATTATATCCACTACATATGTTTCTAATACACACACACACCTCACACATATATACATATTCCCAGGAAGCCGCCCGAAGCAGCTGTCTAACTCCCAGGTACCTATTTTTCTGCTAGGTGAACAGACCCTTCAGGGTGAATGAAACTCTACTCATTTGTTTCGGCCTCCGCCGGGAATCGAACTCATTCCTGCATGAGGCTTGGCCATTGGTTCTTGGGTGAGCTTTGAGCATACGTACTCATCCATGCTGAGTCTCGGGCAGAATGAATAAATCACAGTCATCCATCCCCGTATAGGATGCTTGTGAGTAAACAGAAGTGGTGAGTGACTGTGAGTCAAATTCACAGACGATGCGGCTTTTAGGATGAGTTATAGGGATGAATTCCGTTACTCAGGCAGGCGGGGTGATAGGTATACTATAGCAGTTCCCTTATAAAGATTCACTATACGTTCACTGTACGAGTGTTCACTGTGAACAGTACGGTTAGGTTAGATACATATTAATTTAAGGACATATTAATTTAATTTACATATTAATTTACATATTAATTAATTTAAGTACATATTAATTACAATCCGGTTACAGAACGAGCATTTATTGTCCATCACACAGCATTTGCCTAATGGACTTAAACCGTACAACAGGTGCTAACAACAGGTGTGAACAACAGGTGTGAACAACAGGTGTGAACAACAGGTGAGGGACTGGGATGAGCTGACACGTCCCTATAAACGCAGCGTTGAAGCAATTAATTAACGTCAACGCTGTGATGTCAAGCTCAGTCTTGAACACAAGAGGTGTTGTGCACAAACGTTGCTGAGCTTGAAGAGGTGTTGAGGACAAGGGATGCTGAGCACGAGGGATGCTGAGCACGAGGGATGCTAAGCACGAGGGATGCTGAGCACGAGAGATGCTGAGCACTAGGGATGCTAAGCACGAGGGATGCTAAGCACGAGGGATGCTGAGCACGAGGGATGCTGAGCACGAGGGATGCTGAGCACGAGGGATGCTGAGCACGAGGGATGCTGAGCACGAGGGATGCTGAGCACGAGGGTTGCTGAGCACAAGGGATGCTGAGAACGGACGGTTGTTTACAAAGGTAATGCTGCAGAGCAGTGATGCTGCAACTGACGTCGGCATTCGCAAGATGGACAGCACGAAGCACTATATAGCCTGACAAAGGTAATCTACAGCATGCTAGGCGAGGCGAGAACAACCGTGGACATCTTCAAGAGGAAACTAGATTGTTTCCTTTAAGGTGTGCCGGACCAACCGGGCTGTGGTGGGTATGTGGGCCTTTGGGCCGCTCCAAGCTACAGCCTGGTGGACCAAGCTCTCACAAGTCAAGTCTGGCCTCGGGCCGGGCTTGGGGAATAAAAGAACTCCCAGAACCCCATCATCCAGGTATCAACCAGGCAGCACGGCAGGTAAGGCAGAGAAAGATACTTGATTTGCGATGCTTCTTAGGGCACAGGATTGGTGCCTGAGGCGTCAGTTGGGGAACAGGAAGATGTCTTGTGCAGCTTGTCGAGGAAGTAACGATGTGTACGGTCATTAACTCTATCACTGTTACAAGTGCAGTCGTTTGATTGGAAAAGATTTGAAATGAAAAGTCAATCAAGTTCTCATTTTTGCTAGTTGCTTTTTTGTCTGTAACACAGTGCCTGAGGATATGTAAAGTGTATCCTTGCTAGCACGTGTGAGGGAGACCAGGTCTTGGATTCATCAAGTATTTACTAAACCATTTACGAAACCTGTGCATCTTTCTTCAATCATAGTGGCTTTGTTTACGTTTGTTACATTAAGGTTGATGAACTCCAAAGCACTACGACGTTGTTTATGTCAATGACAACGTTTGGTTGTGAAGTTTTTAAGCTGATGAACTGTTTAATAAATGTCAACAAAGCCGCCATGGTTTAGGAATAATGCACAGATTTCGTAGGGTGGATTTCAAAGTGGTTGATGAATCATGGCCCAGAGCCCCAAGAAGAAGTCTCAATGAGTTCCAACTGAGGGACCCAGCCTTGCAGGATGAGTATGGTGAGTACTTATGAGACGAGAATGTTGGATGCAACAGCATCCGACCACCTCACAGAGAGGGATCATTAAGTCTCAAATTGGAACATTTGCAGTAAGCTTTGTAAATGCTTAAATAGCATCGTTATCGTCCTGAAGGTAATCAAATCCATTGATCTGAACTCATTAGCCTAGACAATGGCATCCAAACTTAGGGGAGTTCATAAGGTTAAACAAATGGATGATGTTAGTGTAAATCTCATAATCAATATTTTTAAGGTTGCCTAAACAAAGTAATGATCTAAGTGACTTCAATGTTAAACAGAATTCCCTGTTTACACATACTACAGTATAGAGAATAGGGAATCTCAGGATTCCCTATTTCTCCTAATTTGTGTCCCGAATTCAATTGGAAAATAGCCTTTTTTTTTTTCCTTATTGGCAGCTTCTATGCATCAAACGCTTTCTTCTCAACCATTATATCTGCATTGGTTTAAGTGGTACCTTTAGCTATCAATCTATATCCTCCCCATCTACACATCCCCACTCTCACCTCCCCCTTCCATCCATCCTCTCCCAGCAGCCTCTCCATCATCTCCCAACATATTTCCCTCCATCTCACCTCCTCCTCCTTCCCCTCCATCTCACCTCCTTCTCCTTCCCCACCATGACCACCCCGAGTATTGCCCAGGGCGAAGTGCTCAATATCTCAGGGGAGGCGTTCAGGGAGGCCCAGAGACTCTCAAGACTTCACTCCTCCCACAACTACTCACCTCATCCCCGCCCTGCGTGTGTGTGACAGCCTCTAGACCAACCTTCTTAAAGCTACAAACAAGTTGCTGACAAGAGTATCATGTGGTAGCGACGGCTACTCCTACATCATTTTAAGCAAGAAAGAACTCGGCGTGCACGAGAGTGCGGCACACACACACACACACACATAAACAGACAAGATTCCGTACAAGGAATTGCAACTGAAAACCCTTAAACGAAAATAAAATATGCAGTGAGACTCGACTAAAGGAAAAGTTTGCTTCAGTGACAAGGGCAGAGACTCAAACACTTGGGTATATTAATCACAGAGTGACACACGAGACAGGAGACATATCACAAAGTTGACATAAAGGAATAAGTAGAGGACCCACTAGCAACTCTTGATCAAATGTTTACACATAATATACTTAATTTTTTCGACATAAATTGTAAAATAGAAACTTGAGACAGTGAACATTAAGCTTCTGGATTGCGAGAACATACAGTAATAAGAACAAAAGAAATGAGTCAAACCAGCAAGTAAGTTTATTAATAATAATAATAATAATAATAATGTTTACTCAGGTAAAAGTACATACCTACAAAATGAGTTACAAACAAAATTTTAGATTTCTAGATAGTGTTAATATATGCAATACCTAAAGCCACTAATACGCACAGCGTTTCTGGCAATTTAAGAAGGCAAATGGCTATAGAAAGGTGAAGGAATATCTACAAGACTTTCAAACTACATTGAAGTAGAAATGACAACATTTGAAATGATGGAATCTGTAGGCAAAAATATGTGCAGAAACTAAGGAACAATTTTGTTTCAGTGACGAAGAAAGTGGATGAAAAACAGTTATATGCTTGATTCATTAGGAAATGCTGACAAGAAAGGAAAAGAAATAACACCAAAATTATTAAAATGTATAAAATCACAGAGACTTTGGCATAGAAAGGTACAAAGGTGACCTAGAAATAAATATACTAGAGTCAGGAGTCCTCTCTCTCTCTCTCTCTCTCTCTCTCTCTCTCTCTCTCTCTCTCTCTCTCTCTCTCTCTCTCTCTCTCTCTCTCTCTCTCTCTCTCTCTCTCTCTCTCTCTCTCTCTCTCTCTCTCTCTCTCTCTCTCTCTCTCTGTATCTATCTATCTATCTCTCCCTCTCTCTCTCTCGCTCGGCCCTGCAGGAATAGAAGCATTTTCAATAACGCATAAAGTTTAATGACAAATTTAGAGGATGCGGGAGGTCGATCCATGTACTAGGACGCCTGCAACCTGTACTCGGAAGTATGGCAGGTCGCCGGCAGTGTATGCACTCGGGTATGAATTTGTAGTAGGCATCCTGCAGTCTCACGAGACTTTGGTGTGAACTACCGTGCCTGTAATATGTACTCTGGGGCTATACACCAGAACTCTGTAGGCTGCAATTATCCCTTGTTTACTAGTGATGTATATGTGTATGTGTGTACAGCCTTTAATGTGTTTATATGGTAATGTGTACTGGATATTATGGAGTTAAGACTCCTAAATTGAAATCATGTATCGTATGCTAGAGCACTGTCAATACTTATCAGACATTGAGACAGAAAGAGACAGAAAGAGAGAGAGAGAGAGAGAGAGAGAGAGAGAGAGAGAGAGAGAGAGAGAGAGAGAGAGAGAGAGAGAGAGAAAGAGAAAGAGAGAGAGAGAGAAGGGCTACAAGGAGAGTTGGATAAATAGACAGGGGGGGATAGGGATGGTGAGAGACAGAGACGAAGAGAGAGATATAGAGAGAAGGTGGAGGGAGACAGTCATATAGACACAGAACCACCCAGGCATCGGGATTCCGTTTCTAGCCTATATATTTAACAAAGTGTATTTTATTTGGTTGCTGTGTATAGTGTTCGGCTGCTGTGTGTTAGTGTTTGCTGTGCAAAGTGTTCGGCTGTATGTAAGGTGTGTAAGATGTGTGAAACCTGCTGGGCCTGTTTTTAAAGAGTGCGAATTGTGCATGATTTGTGTTCAAAGTTCAAAGCATATTCCAAGGTGTAGGTGTATGGACAAAGCATTCCCATACAGCCTCCTATAGCTTCATGCCTTGATGTGTATTTTAACAACAATATTT